GGTTTAGGGGTTAGTGGTTTAGGGGTTAGGGGTTTAGGGGTTAGTGGTTTGGGGTTTAGGGGTTAGTGGTTAGGGTTCATTAGAAAAAAGCTTGTGTTGATGTCTGAATGAACAATTCCTCTAATAATCAAACAAGATCCTGATTTATCCACAACCTAAAGGTCACATCCCATTTGTTTTATTGTTATAAAAATGTAATGAGTGAATTCTGTTCTGATTAATATTTTCTACAAGCTTCAGCTGAATTTTCCTGCCTGAATTTGAAGTGTCATCATTACCGGTTCAAACTGAGTCCACTGGTTTTTATTATTATTATAACACTTTCCTCTTCAAATGTCAGCTGTGTTCAGACCGACCCAGGGAATAATAAAAAGTCCAGCGTAAAGAAAAGATCTGCAGCCTGTGGGTGTGGGGGTCCACGGGGTCCGCAGGGTTCCAGTGCAGGAAAATGAAAGTGGGATTAATTTAAAAWAACTTCATTTATTCTAAATCAGCCTGTTTGCAGAAGATTTATCTGAAAGACTGTTTTAAATGTCACGTTGACACAAAACAGCAGAAATACCAGTTTTGTTGTCTTCTTTTTGTTTGTTTTTACTAAAAATGTTTCTTTCTAAGTAAAAATAATTTTTTCATTTCAATCCATTAAAAAAATCTAATCACATTCTTCATCCCCACGAGGAAATGTGAAGCAGACTTTCCTGCACCAACATGTGAACACAAAGCCAGATACTGGTTCCTGCATTAGGAGTCTAATCATGTGTTCACAGATTCATTAAAGACACTTCCTGTAATAAAACAATCCCACCTGTGTCAGGTGCTTTATATAAGTCAGGCTGCAGACCAGCAGGGGGCCCACTCACTTTGTGGCCAGCAGCATGTTTTTCCTCGTGTGCAGCTCGTTGGGGTCCGCATGTTGCCGGTTCAGGTACTCGCTCACAGCTTTGGTGGGAAACTCCGTCTCACAGATGTAACCAAAGTCTCGGGCCAAGTGGACCGCCTCACCTGAGGGGGAACAAGATAAACTGTTTAATCAAGAGCTGCGACAAAAACAAGCAAACCTCTGCAGGATTTTTAGTTTAATGACTAAAACTGTTCATGCTGCTTGAATTAGTTAAATCATCTCACATTTATTCTGTTTACGTTTTCATAAACAGGAGCGAAATGTTTGGAAAACCCAAAATATAAAACAAAAAATGGTACAGTCATTTTTATGGCCAAATTTAACACAAATTCAATAATTATCACTTTATGGAAAAAATTAGAAATTACACCTGATTAATAAACACAAAGAAGCTATAAAGTCCACAAGTTCATGAATTTTTTAGACTAATTTTAGACTAAATTTAGTTAATTGTGTAAAATCATGTGCACTTTTAAAAACTACTTAGTATGCTCCAAATAAATTTAATACAAGAAGTTTGTTTTATCTGCTAACTGCATAAAACACCTCAAATTAAATCAAGTTTTCATTCCTTGTTTCATAGAATTTGTGCTTTCTGCATATTTTTATCTTGTCTGGAAATGTAATGAAAGAATCCATGTTTATAGAATAAATAAAGTAAAAAAACTATTTTCACTTGAAGTACAACTGCTGCTCGGTCACCTTCTACCAGAGAAGTCAGTAACGTGACGTTTGCAGCTTTGCGCCTCCCAGCAGGAAGATTCAAGCCAATCTTCTCCAGTTTTTCTCGCAGACATTTGCCTCCGTTTTTAGACTTTGCTCTGCAGAAACAACAAAACAAACCTAGAATGAGTTTTTTTGTGTGTTTTATGTACACAGAAATTCACAGACATCACAGATGTGATTAAAAATGCTAAATGAAGGGATTCAAAGGTTGTTGTCAGCTGARCAGGTGAAAATAATGGTTGTTTGATGGTAAAAATGTAAAAAACTAAAAGAAATTGTTTTTATAGCTCCAGTTGTCTGCAGACATTCTGTGATGAAGAAGTGGGCACGGTGGTGCAGTGGTCCCAGATGTAGGTCACAGGTTCATCTCCAGCCTGGGTGGAGCTGACATGTTCTCCCTGTGCACAGGTGGGTTTTCTCCAATGAATAAAAGGATGGATGGAGGTCTGATTAGTCGTCATGCTGTACCTTCTCAACACGCCTCCTAACAGGGAGGCGTTGAGGCACTCGGGTGGAGACAGCCTCCTCTGCACCTCCCCCACCGTCACTTTGTACTTGGAGGTGGAGCTGAGCAGCGACAGGCGGCCCGGTACCGAACAGAACACCTCGTTGATGTTGACGGTGACCCCGCCGATCAGCCCGTCCTTCCCCAGCATCAGGGAGCCCACGTTCTTGGGCGGCATGGGCACTGAAAACAGGAAGTACAGAACCGTTTTACACACGTGCAGTGCTTGTTTTCACCTGACGATCAGGGCCTTATCTGGGGGGGTTCACAGCGCCGCGCGCTCAAGGGGCGGTCCCCCCACGTGCTGGGCCTTTGCTTGTTATTTAATGTCGCGCGACATTCTCATTAAAGCCTTATCGATTGTTGATTGGCTCGCGTGCTCAGATCACATTAACCCCCTCCCGGTCCTCAGCTCCCCCCAGCAGCACTGGAAGCCCCTCCATCCCGAGCCTAATGGTGCAGTGAAGGCGGTGGTCGGTGCAGGGCCTGTTTTTAATGGCTCCACGGGGGATAATCCCGCAGATTAGCTCTAAACGAGCTCACGAGATGTCTGTGAGCGGGGCCATTTATTACATCAGAGGCTTAAATGCCCCGCGGGGGGCTGCACTCACTCAACACCCCTGAACTAAATCAGCCCACATCAGCACGCGCCAGCCTGTCACTCACTGGACCGGGGCTCGGTTAAACTGCTCCAAAGACCACACTGGGTCAGAACCGAGCCTCGGCTGCCAGAAAGACCCAGTCAGACCAAATCCTGCATCAAAGTCCTGWAATCCAGAAGGAGTCAGAGAAAGTCCTCAGGTCAGAGCGGGGAGGGGTTGGACTTCACTCCTTACAGGCAAACCATTTAGAAACAAGTCATTTAGATTTAAAGTCTCCTTAAAATCTAAATCTGRAAGTGAAATTTATTAAAGTGAGTTCACCTGGAAACAGGTCAACAATTTACTGTTTGTTTACATTAAGTGTGGGCTCACAGTTTACAACTGTGTTTACATTAAGTGTGGGCTCACAGTTTACAACTGACTGTTTACATTAAGTGTGGGCTCACAGTTTACAACTGACTGTTTACATTAAGTGTGGGCTCACAGTTTACAACTGACTGTTTACATTAAGTGTGGGCTCACAGTTTACAACTGTTTGTTTACATTAAGTGTGGGCTCACAGTTTACAACTGACTGTTTGTTTACATTAAGTGTGGGCTCACAGTTTACAACTGACTGTTTACATTAAGTGTGGGCTCACAGTTTACAACTGACTGTTTGTTTACATTAAGTGTGGGCTCACAGTTTACAACTGACTGTTTACATTAAGTGTGGGCTCACAGTTTACAACTGA